GGTAAGTCACCGGTTAATTAGTTTACCAATGGAAAGTCACTGGTTAATAAATTTACCACTGGTATGTCACTGGTCAATTAATTTACCACTGGTAAGTCACTAGTTAATCGATTTACCACTGGTAAGTATCCAGTTAATTAATTCACCACTTGTAAGTCACTGGTTAGTCAATTTATTTATAGATCAATTAGAATAATGCATATTTACTGTGGTATTGAAACAAAAATACTGTAATACAAACTGTTGAACTGTTCATAACAGAATTGCAAATTCCAAAACAATTACAAACCTTTTGTTTTTTCAAAGCATACTATCAATATCAGAGTTTATTTAAAATACCAACATACCTTTAATACATATTGTACATAAACATAGCAGTAATCTTCATTGATTCTCAGTGATATGATATTTATAATTAAATGTTATGTATTATTTCCTCTTCAGGTTGACCGTGCTATTCAGGTAGTACAAAGTGCAATAGCCAATCAAATTGACTGGGCTGAAATCTGGGACATTGTCAAAGAAGCGCAGACACAAGGAGATGAAGTTGCTAAATCTATCAAATCTTTAAAATTAGACAAAAATCACATTACTTTACTATTGAGGTAAGTAGAGTCTTCCACGTTATCTTTATCATATTAACTGAATCATTTGGGAAACACAAATACAGTATTTTCTCTACTGAAAACACATCCAATTGAAGTCTACATACTTTAAAAATTGCATTTATTGCACTGAAAATCCATTTATTTTCACTGACAATTTCACTATTTTGTTGATCTGAGCGATTTCACTGGGTTTCAAGTTCACCAGCTTGGCAAAGAAACAATTCTGTTGTAATTATACATTCACATGGATTTAAGTTAGAAAATTTTACTTATCATTAACTATAGCAATAACAGTTAGTAATTAAAGTGTTTTACAGTATACTGGAACAAATATACTATACAGTATACTGGAATACAAATTGATTTTGACCATAAACACACCTTGGTCATTTATGTGCATCTGTTATTACTTAATAGAACAAATGCAGTATTTTTAATTTTCATTGAACATTTTGCCCAATTATTCTTTTTCCATTTTCTGTATTTATTTAACAACATTTGTTTGATTATTGCTTTAGGGATCCATTTGTAAGCAGTGATGTTGATGATGAAGATAAGCATTCTGGGATTGGTCCTCTCAAAATTGACATTGATCTTGATTTATCTGCCTATGCAAATGCCAGAAAGTAAGTTATTGTTCTAGTAATGAGTTAAAGGCTCTTCAACTTGTGTTACTTGTGAATATTAGTGTTTTTTTTGAAATCAATTCATATATGATCTATGAACAGTCAAATTGTGGAACAGACTTGTAAAGAATGGCACGCAAGAAGCTCTGAGCTAAATAATTTACTTGTCCTCATTTCTCATACTGGATTTCCTCTCGTAGGAACACATGTCCGATATAATGCATATAAACCAACATTTGTTGTATACTGAATCATTCCAATATTTTGACCATAGAAACACCTCTGTAATTAGTGTATGCGCTACTAATAGAGCAAATACAGTAATTCTTCTTTTCTCTTCACTTTCTCAACTGCCTTCTTCTGTATCAACTTGTTTTTCAGATATTATGAAGCAAAGAAACACTCTGCAGTAAAAGAACAGAAAACACTTGCAGCATCACAAAAGGTAACATTGTTCTCTAGAGGTAAATGCTGAGTGTCAGTGACTACAGATACTCTGAAATTAACGTTTAAATTGTAAAATTTCTATCACTGACAATTTACAACTGAGGACAGGATAATATGACTGTTACTTGTACATGTTGACTGTAGGAATGATTGTCATGATGCACTTGTACTCTAATTGTGTTGCTTTTCTCATTGTTTTATTTGCACAGTAATTCTTATAAAGTGTGTGAAATTTGAGATTACTGTAACCGAGATGAGACATGGCTGCAAATAACACAAACTAAGACATTATTAATAACTGGTATATTACACATGTCTGCAGACTCGCAATGTACATGCAATGGACACGCTTTTTCTATCTTCTGTAACATTTATATTTGAATAGAACTGAATTATTGAATTTTTACCTCATTCATTCATTCATTCATTCATTCATTCATTCATTCATTGTGTTCCAGTATTAAAGCTTCCTATGCATATCACTGTCATATATAGATAGTTTTATCAATATGAATATTAGTAAATCTGAGTGTGTTATTATCATATATTATAATGCTAAGATTCCATTTCTAAGATATAGTAAAGTATCGTGTGCTTCTTGCAATGTCATACTTCCATGTTTTTAATCGCTGGTCTCCTTCGATGCCAGGCTTTGAAATCTGCAGAAATTAAAACCAAACAAACCCTGAAGGATGTTGCTACGGTGACAAGTATCAACAAAGCAAGAAAAACATACTGGTAAGTAAGTAAGATATGATGATTATTGATTGAACTATTAAGTCTGTTGTCAGCATGAACTAAGCTTTGTTTGGCACCCATCATTGGCTGTGTGTCTGGTAAACAAATTTCTCAAGAACCATAGGGACATGTACCAGTATGTTAGTCTGTCAGGTGAAGATGTGAAAGAGGCATGGCAAATCAAATGTGTGTCATAGTGCATGTCCCAGGGTCAACAATCTGAAAGGTAGGCAGATTTCACTGGAGGCATAATGTTCCAAATGAGCAATACACCGCCCACTTGCCATCATTTTAAAACTAATTTGTATCAGCCTCTGAAAATGTGCACACTATTCTGTGAATACTATTCTAAACGAGAAAAACTTTCATATTTTTAGCTCTGCTAAATATTGTCTGTCGTTTGTCAACAATTCTATTTTGGACTTTTTCTTTAAAACTATCAGCTGAATTGATATACTTTGTATGTAGAAACCTTGAGTAGACCTCTGTCAGATTTGTATATTTTGTGATGATATCATCAATTCTCTATAATATTTTGGTAATTTTTGGTATAAAATGATATTTTTGAATTCTTCTTGAACACTTCCAACACGATTGCTTTGATATTTGAGGTGTACATAATTTCTGTGAACATTTTGCTTGATGAAGTTAAGTTCACATGTTCTCAACAGCCAGAAGCAAACTACCGGTACTTTTTTTATGGGTTAACCGTGGTTTGTCTTATAAGTGTGCGTTGCTTGGCTGGGCTACAACAATGTTCTTGTAGCACATCAGAGCTATTCTCAGAGATTATTGATAAGTGTTCTAAAATTTACAAAAAAATTACAAGAATGGTCATGTTGTTTATCAATTGTTGTATCCAGGTTACCTCATGTAATGTGATGGTACATAGGATTGTCTAAATCACATCATAATGAACAAAGATATTTGTATCATAGAGGCTATATCTAGCAATATTTTATAATTCCAGGTTTGAGAAGTTTATCTGGTTTATAAGTTCTGAAAATTACTTAATAATTGGAGGAAGGGATCAACAACAAAATGAAATCGTTGTCAGAAAGTATCTCAACAAAGGTTTGTATTGTTTGTCCATTGTAATTCAATATGTATTTGCAATAATTTATTGGCACCTGTGAATTCCTATCAACAATGTCAATTGACAAAATTTAAATCCCAAACAATGCACGGAACTTTTAGACAGACGTCATATGTAAACAAAAAAATAATTCTTATTTATTATCTTCAATTTTGTTTATTTTATTTGTTAACAGGTGATATTTATGTTCATGCTGACCTACATGGTGCTAGCAGTGTTATTATCAAAAATCCTACAGGTGCGTGTCTTACAACTGTTTAAAAAATAAACATGTTCCTTTCCCTCTACATCAATCTGTATTGACCAAAAGTGTTTAACTTTCAGGTGCTGATATACCTCCTAAAACTCTAAATGAAGCTGGATCTATGGCAATATGTTATAGTGCAGCCTGGCAGGCGAGGGTAGTGACCAGTGCGTGGTGGGTGTACCACAATCAGGTAGGTAAACAGAGTGTTTGTGATTGACCCTTTGCATGTGTAGTCACCAGGACTCTATTCTATGTATATCTCAAAATGAAACATTTGGTGAGACATTGCTGCTAATATATATAATAAGAGTGTTATAATTTATACTGCCAGGCTGCATCTTTTTTATTTATTTCTATCCATTTATTGTATTTTGCCAGGTCTCTAAAACTGCACCCACAGGAGAATATTTAACAACTGGTAGTTTTATGGTCAGAGGTAAGAAAGTGATTTTAAAATCAATAAAAGTAACATCACCTGAAGTGGTCACATCGAATGAACAGTACATGCACTAGAGTACTTCTGTTTTCTTGCTGAGATTCTATAAACATACTCAAACAAGGACTTAAGAATAATAACATATTTTGACTGGTTTAAAAATTTATTTATTCCAGGAAAAAAGAATTATTTGCCACCCAGTTATCTTGTTATGGGATTTGGATTTCTTTTCAAGGTAAAACATTTAAAAACATTTTCTGTCAATTTTCAGTTTTACTCAAAAATATTTGGTATTTTTGTCCAAATTTTTGGAAGAAAATTGCAGACTATAAACGAGATAAAGATGATTTATTATCACAGTAGTAAATGTGAATCTACTACTAATGGAGTAAATACAGTTGTCTCTGCCTATACTAATACTTGGTGTAATAATCATATATTCAATAGACCTTGAACAAAAATTGTCGCAGAGATCTTGTGAAGAGCGAGATCCTTTATTTTGCTTTTCAAATTGTGTTTCATTCTTTCATTGACTGTCCCAAATGCCATAGCAAAATAGGTCAGCAGATATGACAGAAATGAATAGAACACTATTGGGGGGGGGGGTCTCTTGTCGCTCTTTCTCTTCAAATTACATTGCTGTCTTTACTGCATGATATTTTGCAGGTGGATGAAGACAGTCTATGGAGACATAAAGATGAAAGAAAAGTGAAATCACTAGAAGAGGAATTAGAAGATCAACTATCTGTTACTGATAGTCAAGTTGTAAGTATTAGTTAATAATAGTCACTGCTGGTTCAGCTAAGTGGAAAAATAGCAGAATTATTAGTACACTCACAAATTTTACACCCACATAATTTTCAAAACTTTTTTTTGAACAAGATTTTTAACCAATAGAAAATTATGCCCAAAAAATACATAAAAACAGCCAAAATTTTGCACTAAATTATGGTGCTCAAAGTGTTAGGGCTAAGATCTAGAAAAAAAAGTTTTTATGTTTTTGCCAAAATGCTCACCAAGAATCAGAATAAAATAAAAAGAATAAGCGCTAGCATCAATTCCAGAAACAAATTTTTCATTTTGGACTCCTGTTTGCGAAGCACACAATGGGATTACAATCATTAGTTCAGTTTTTGATTAAAATCTGTGCATAATAATTTTTTGGTTCTAATCACATTTCAATGAAACTTGGTGCGTAGATGGTCTGTGAACATTTCAATGAAACTTGAAAGATTATTCTTCAATTTTGAATTGATTTTAATGTTTCTCCAATACTCTTAGCACACATGAGTTCTTTCTAAACTTTCTTTAATTTTTTCCTTCTGCTTTTGATGAGTGTCCAGAACTATGTGCATTGAGTGATAACAAAGATATATAGTTGTAATAATGTGTTTATTACAGACTGGCAGTGGTGAAAGTGACGAAATATCTATTCCAGAACAAGAAGGGGAAGAGGATGATGAGAGTGATGAAGAGGAGGCAAACCAGGAGGAAAAGGAGGAGGAAGAGGAAGAAGAGCAGGAGGAAAAGGAGCCGGAGGATGGAAATATTGAAAGTAAAGGTAAGAATTGTGACTGCTAACACAACTACTGGGTAATGGTGCTTATTACAAACTGTGTACCTGAACCAACAAGTGTATTTGTATTAAAAAAATAATTCTTTGAATCATTTGGTAACAATATATCTCACTTATGTATAGAGTTCTGTGAGTTAACAGTAAAACTGTTGGAACCAGTTTTATTGAATACCGGTATGCTTATTAAAGTCAAAAGAACTGTTAGTAGTGATGTACTAATTTGCTTGTTGTTTGTTCCAGGTATTGCTTCCGGTGATCACCAGGTTGCACCAGATAATGAGGTAATAGCTGCAACGCTAGATTCTGGTAACAATGAAAAAAAATTAGAGATCAAAATGTTGGAGGAAGTTGATGATGATGAAGATGATGATGGATTTTATCCAGATAGTACTATACAGTTGCAACACATCACTGGAGATAAGTATGTTAGTTTGTTGTGACTTTTGTACTTGCCACATAATGACCTTTGGCCTCACAGTAGGTGCAAAAATAAACTGATCAGGTAAATCTGTATCAATCTTCTCTGCTTTTGGTGCTTTTAATCGTGACAAGCCATTGATTCTGGACACAACCAACAAAGGCAATGTATACTAGAGTGCTATGAAAACCGCTCAGATTCAAACATAGTGAGAGGATTCAGACTCAAAATGTCAAATTGCAAGCAAAAGATTTTGCATGAAATATGAAAATAAATTATCATTGAACAAGCATTCCTAGATTATTATTTGATCTTAAACATAACATGTCATTTCATATTTGAGCACCCCTTTTAAATATAGAGTGACTGCAATATGCAAATGAGTGATCTTACTTTTCAATGGTTGAAAGTAATGCCATAACAAACATCGCTGGCAATGTTCCTATGCATATTACAATGTTTGATATCAAGAGAAAGGTTTTCTAATCAGTATATTTCAGCGCACGCTACAATTTTTTGGATATTTGTACTTTACATACACATATAAATTAATACTTTGAAGGGAATAATGTTATTAAAATGATTTAACACACACACTTGGAATCAGTTTTATGGTTTGTAGTTATAATCTGAATGTTTGCAATAATTTTAATATTTTCCACTCAACCTTTGATACTATAACTCAAAATCCAATCATTGCTGCTTGCAGCTGTATTTGAAATTGTTTTTGACAATTGTGCTATGTTTTGTCTTTACCTAGATTTGAGTTGCGCAGAGGTACAAGTACTACAGATAGTGCAGTTGACGATAATGAGAAGTTAATTTATCTGGGAGATGATAAACCTTTCCTGATTAAAGATAAGGTATTTTGTATTTCACTAGATTCAAATATGTCTACCTTGCACCTTTAGATTACTGTTCTGATGTTTATATATACATTACACAGAAATGAACAAGATATTGTTTATGTTAATTTAGGCTGAAAGTTCTGGAAAGCAGCGTTTATCTGCCAAGCAACGAAGGTGAGAATCTATTTTATAATTATAATGCTGTATACTTTATTAGCTCTGCTGTCGACGAAGTTGAGCGGAGCTTATAGTATTACTGATTGTCCGTCGTCGCGGCCGTCAACTTTACATTTTCGACTTCTTCTTAAAAACTACAAACTGTATAGCTGTGAAACTTTCTAGGAAAGTACCTTGGGTGGTTCTCTCTTAGATTTGTTCATTTCGTGTGGATATGTTCACTTGTCTTATTTATAGCGAATATTTTTGTCATTTTTGGTCAAAAATGCTATTTTCAACTTCTTCTTGAAAACCGCTAGCCCAAATGCTTTGATACTTGGTATGTAGGTACCTTGGGTAGACCTCTCTCAGATTTGTTCATTTCATGATGATATCTTCAATTCTCTAATTTTGGTGAATATTTTTGTCATTTTTGGTAAAAAGTGATATTTTCGATTTCTTGTTAAAAACCACAAGTCCAATTGCTTTGATATTACATATCTAGGTACTACATGTGGACCTCTCTCAGATTTGTTAATTTCGTAATGATATCTTTAATTTTCTCATTTTCATGAATATTTTTGTCATTTTTGGTAAAAAGTGATATTTTCGACTTCTTGTTAAAAACCGCAGGTCCAATTGCTTTGATATTACATATCTAGGTACAACATGTGGTCCTCTCTCAGGTTTGTTCATTTTGTGATGATATCTTTAATTCACTAATTTCTATGAATATTTTTGTATGTAAATGTGTCGAAATGGGCGTAGTGCGAGTGGTTAGTGCTAGTAGCACTAATCCGAAAAAGTACTAGATCTAGTGCTAAAATGGCACTAGATCTAGTGCTAAAATGTGCACAGTGCGAGTGGCATTGTTATCGCATTGTCAACAACGTCGAATAATAGGAGGGGCATCAACAACCACTTTCATATGCAAACTGCAAACAGTATAAAACATTGGCAATATGCGTGAGATGTCCATAATAATACTTTCTTTATATAATACCGGATTCTGCCGTAAATTCGCCCATCGAAAAT